GGACTAGGTAGTAGGGAAGCGGTCGTAGTTAACGCTCATTTTTTCTCTAATCTTAGAGGCAAAGACGTCGAATTAGGAGCGATCTCCCTAAAACTTTTTAGGGTTAGGTATCTTTTNNGAANNGCTAATCGAAGACTCGGGAGNNGGAGAAGTAAGCGTAGGCGTTCGACCGTAAAATACTACGTTATCCTTAANATCGGGAGTTATAGGATCNNAGGTAGTAGGGGTATTAACCGTAGGNAGGGNAGCTTTAATAGCTTNNGCTTCTAAGCGGCGGGCCTAGGCTTNATTTTTAAGAGCGTTTTCTATTCGAGTAATAGCGCGGACCTTATTTACGGAAGCGCGTTTAAGTTTTTCGCGAACCTCCTTAAGTTTAGAGGACTAGTATGCTTATATAGTCTAAATAGACTCTTTTTCGNNGCGGGTCTAGTNNAGTTCCTAGCGGGTCTAGCTAAGTTCGTAGGTAAGAGAGGCGTTCTCCTAGTATAGCGATATATTTTTAGATTCCTAGGAATCGGCGAAGTAATAGACATCGGTTAGGAACTTATACTATAGGTCGGGGTAGTCGTAGACATGTTAGATAAAAACCTCGAGGTTATCTAGGAGGATAGGAGGCGTCGGGCGTAAGGTTATCGTAGGGTAGTTAGCGCGATAGGCGCGCTACGTAAGTATATATAGTCTACGTAATGTTAAGGGGCGGAGTCGGGAGTAGGTAATAATACGTAGATACGGGTCTAAGCTATATAACGAGACGTAGATAAGGAGACAAAGAGGTAATAGGGAGGAGTCGTAGAAGGTAGTAAGTAGTCTTAGTAACTCCGCACGGCCGCTTAGCAAGCGGCCGGCTAAGGTTAGGGTTACCCTAGCGGCTAGGGGTTATAGTTAGGTGTAACTAGACAGCTAACCGTGACACTAGCTAAATAATAGCGTCGTTATATACTATCTATAACTCCCGCTAAGTCTATTAAAGGAAGAGAAATTAGCTAGTTACTAACACTAGCTCGCTAGTTATTCCTATTAATAAATCCTTTAGATAGACTAGGTAGTAGCGTGCCTCTAACTTTTACTCGAAGTAAGTTAGTTATATCTTTATTAAGTAATAGTAGAAGCGTATACCTAGCCTAGACTAATACTATAGTCGCTAAGCTACTCGATAGATTAGAGGAGTAGTTAAAAAAAGGTAAACGTACTAGGTTAAGTTAGAAGTTAGAGGCGTAGGTCGTCGTTATTAAGGCCGTAAAGGAGGTAATACCTACTATATAGAAGATTATTATAACGAGGAAGAAGTATAACAATAAGGTAGTATAGTTTAGGAACTGCTAGAAAGTCTAGGTCTATATAATAGATAATTCTAGTTAGGCTAAGGATAAGGATACTAGCCTACTAGTATCGATTTAGTAAGGCATAGATAACTACCTCTTAAAGCATCTAGAAGGTAAGAAGTTCTTATATTAATGTCTTAAGTAATAGGATTAGCTAGACTTTCTCTTCGTAGTAACAACTATAATCGGCGTAAACGTACGTACTATAGGTAAGATAGTACCTTCGGCAATACCTAATGCTAATAGCGATAATAATAAAGAGGAGGAAATAACTAATAAGAGTAGTATAAGGAAACGAACGTTAGTAATACTAGGTAAAAGTATAAGGAAGATACTTACTCTAAACTAAGAGTTTGCTACTTACATTAACTTAATAAGTAAGTAGTAGAGTAGAAGTAATAAGATTATAGCATTTAATCCTATTACTAACGCTACTTACGAGTTCTATAAGGAGTTTACGTATCTCTATATCTATAACTAGATAGCTAATTTAAGTATAATAGTAGAGGGTAATAATGCGCGTCTATTCTTAGTATCGCTAGCGCTAGTAGAAAAGGCCTTTATAATAAAGTAGATAGGGCTAGTTATTATTAATGTAGTTTAAAGAGTAATAGAAGGAGAGGAAGTTAAGAGGACTAAGTAACGCGAGTAAAGTTAGACTTATATATATATACTTTAATAAGTCCTTAAAAGCATCCTATTTTAGTCTCGTAGCATAGAATAACATCTTCTCGCTTACTTATAGATCCTTAGTATATTTATACCCCTTTATATTAGATATATATAAAGTCCTAATACTAAGGTTTAAAGCGCTCTAGTCTAGTAAGGTGCCCTATCTCTACATTAATATACTTACCGCTAGGATGTAGCGGACTACCTACTTCCTTTAATCATCTATCTATAGAGTATAGTACGTAACGCACTTAGATCTAACGAAAGATTAACCTCTTAACTTTAATTTTAAATCCGAGGGCTTTACCTATAAGAATTTAACATTTTACGCTAAAAAAAGTTACTATCTATCGGTGCCTAGATATTAACCGATTCCTCTACTTAAACGACTAAATCTACGGGTTAAGGTAGTATTTAGTTCGTTCCTAGGCTTTTTAACTTAACTTATAAGAAGATGACTTTATTTGAGGTAAATACAAAAGTTCTAAATCGAATGTGAATTCGATAAGTCGTTCGGTTTGTTACTTTATATAACTATAATAGCAATATTATAGTAGCTTACGCGGGTGTTAGCTTGCTTTTAAAGCAATATGTTGCTTAGGACTAGCATAAATCTTTTGGCAGATTTAGAAGACCTTTTTGGTAAGAGAGTTGATTTGAAACTTTAAATATGAGCTAAATCGAATTAACGCCCGAATCTGCTCCGCAAACCGAGCGATATAGTTAACTTTAACTTATAAGTACTTCTAAGTCGATCTAAAGCCTCTAGAAGGAGTTCTAACGCGCGAACCGAATACTCCCTAAACCGAACGCTACCCTCGACTTCCACTTCGGCTGTCGAAAACGACGATATCGACCGCCAAGTAGTCGAATCCGTTAGTCGAAGCCGCTAAACCGAACACGGCCTAATATGTCTTCGTCGGCCTCTTCTAACTTAAGGATTAGTCGTTACTGTCGTATAGGCTTTAACAAGAACGGTGTATAGCCCTGCATTATCTTATCGATAAATACATTGTTACTATCCGAGCGCTGTCGAAAATGACATCGATCTAATGTGTGTCTTAAGATTGTTCGTCTCGAGGAAGTCATCGCAGACGGTACGAATAGAAGTGTCGTCTGTCGTGTTTGCTTCTAATTAGTGTCTACGTCTTCGTCGTCCTATACGTCGATTTGCGGTATCATGTCTATGTCTAGCTTGTATTAATGTCGGTTTGTGATAGGGTAAAGGGGTTCGATATTGTGATTCCAATTGAACTGGAGCTTAGCCGAGCTTAAACAAAAAGGAGACTGTTAGGTGGGAACAAATCGATTAAAAATGAATTGGATATTGGCAGAGCAAGAAGGCGAATTGTTCGCGGTTTCCTCGACGCAGGATATGGACGACGGAGGTGTAGTCGTAGGAGAGACAGTTTCAAAGTAACATTAACAGTTAAGCATATCGTGCTCCCAGTAGGAGAGAATCGAGATGAGGATTTCTGGCGACATTTTGATTGTTTAGTTTGCAAAGGAAGAGAAGAGACGAAATCGTTTGTCGTGTCTTCTAAACGGTGTCTAAATTTTCGTCGTCCTGTTCGTCGATTTGCGGTATTGTGTATGGGTCCGGCTCAAGTTGCGAGCACATCGTGTCAATGTCGGTTTGTGGTATCGTAAAGGGGTTCGACATTGTGGTTCCTACTAGATAGGAACGAACCGAGCGAAGATCGAATTGGATCTTAGCTAAGCTCGAACAAAAAGGCGAATTGTTCGCTGTTCCCTCGACGCACAGAAATGAGAGGAAGACTGCTCGATGTCGGCCTTACATATAATACCAAGTTCTGCCTAGGAGACGGCGAGTTGTTCTGGCAGTGAGTTGTGCCTCTTTCGCTCTCTCTGGACATCAAGCTGCATCTGAATTAGCTTATACATCTCGACAGCTTCAGTGGCCGGGAGATGATGCCTTCACCTGAAGTCATGTAAGGTCTGGGAATCAGTCAAAGAAACTAAAAGGCAACGAAGCCTTCCATGAACAACGAGCTGAATTTTGAATTGATTTATGCATTTTGACAGCTGCAAAAGTGGTAGAAACATCCTGCTTCGGGAGGTGGAGTGTGCGTGATGCATTCGTTCATCCTCAAACAAACTTTCTGATCCGGAAGCCGCAAGGGTAGAATCGCGAACTGGCCTTGCTTCGTTGGACAGTGGCTCCTTCTTGAACTGGATTGTGCATTTTTACAGTTTTTTTTCGATGGTAATGACGATTCAGCTTGATCATGCAAAGAAAATGAAAACTGTTCGGTCTAAAGAACTTCTATACTGTCGATTGTTCGAAAACGTCTGAAAATCTAATCTCTATCCAGTCTATCTTCTACCAACCCACCCACTACAAAGGATTGAAACAGCGCGAAAAAGAAAAAAGAAAAAAGGAAGAACAAAGCCAGATTAAACTAGGGAAAAAAAGCAAATGCGCAGTAGTAAGAGAAAAAGAGAAACTCCTCGCAAAATATGGCAGCAGGTCATGTTTCTCGTTTGGAAAATTGAAAACATCATAAAAACATGAAGGTGTTGTTGAAGCAGAAGTGGATGGAGACAAAGTAGGAGAAGAAAGAGATCAGGTGTGTTTCAACCTTCACCCTTCCTTGCCCAGGTCTTTCAACTCCAAAGAGACTGTAATTTCAAGTCTCGGTCTGCTCAAGAACCTCCATTCTCAACCTCGCCCTTCTCCATCGCAGTCTCGAGATTGCGAGCTTGGGTGTGTTGACGGAACATCTGCAAGACATTCAGTCTGCCTTCGTTTGTTTTTCCTTGCCACTTTTTGGGTGTGTAGTTGACAGGACTCTCTCCGCCCTTGAAGACGCAAACATCGTATAATACGCCACCAGTAAGACCGCCTGAGATTGTGGCTCCCCATGCGCCCCAGATCCACCAGTTGTGGTAGGCGGTAAAAATCTCAGTGCCGTAGCCCATGGCCATGGCAGCCAAGCGGGGACCAAAGTCACGGACGGGGTTGAAGCAACCACCAGTGTTGGATCCAAGAGACATGACGAGGACGATAGTCAGGAGACCGATGATGAAGGCATGCATACCAGCACCAGGAGGTGAGTTTGAGTCGTCACCAAGAGCCAAGATCGAACAAGTAAGAATTGCAGTTCCAGCAAATTCAGTGAAAAAGGCAGTGGCAGGGGCGACGTATTCTTTAGGTTGTGTGTAGATTTGGATGCCGCTTGAGGAACCAATCAATCCACCATCATTGTAAAGGATGGCATCGCGATAGATTGCTATGGCGATGAGACCACCAGTGAAGGCGCCCAGAGCCTGGAAAATGATAAAAGTTGGAAGTTTACGCGCAGGGAAACCTCTCTGAGTATAATTGTCAGCAATTTGAAGAATGATTGACGGGGTAGAAATGACTCACGTAGATCCACAAGGCGATAGAGATGGCTGGGTTTAGATGGGCACCTGAGCTTCCACCCGAGATGTAAATGCCCAACATGACTGCAAGTCCCCAACCCCAGTACATGTTCTGGTAAATTCCAGGGTGCTGTGATTCTCCAGTTGCAACAGCGAGGTTACTGCTGACGCCTATTGCAATGAAGATTGTTGTCTGGAAGCTTAGTTAGCAGGCGAACAGAAGTGATAAATCAAATGCAGAACTCACTCCCAACCATTCACCCAAAGCATCCTGGAATTTGGCACGAACTGTTGCCAACGAGTTGAATGGCGCGGGTTCATCAAGGACATCCTCATCCTCAGGCGCCAGAGTTGTATCATCGCTATCACCACCAGGAGTGTAAGTTGCTTCATCGGCGATCACACCTGTGTTCTCGCCATCTCCAGCCTGAGCGCTTGATTCTTGCATCATCATGCCTCCAGATTGATTACTCTGTGTGGATCCGTGATTCTGATGCTTGTAATCCTGGGACGGTTCGGGATCCTGCTTGGATCCACCGCGATGTTTTTTGCGTTCGTCAGTATCCTGAAGCTGAGGTGCTGCTTCTCCCTCTCCCTTCTCGCCAGGTTGTACACCGGGAGCTACTCCAGAGGGGTCATTCTTCTTTTTGCCTTGCCAACCACGCACAGTGCGTGGCAGATTAGAGCCCAAGCTGAAGGTTGGTTCATTCTGTTTCTTCTCATACTGCGGGTTGAGATTACGGTAGCCTTCTGCGACATAAGTCTCTCTGTTGGGTCCACCTCGATGACCTTCGGGTTGCTGTGAGCCAGCTAGTGAGTAGCCACCTTGTTCCGCAGTACCTCCTGTGCCATTGGTGGCCATTCGACTTATTTGAGTGGCCATACGACTCATCCTAGGCCTCAAGGTGCTAGCCGTGTGTTGGTTGCGTATATCCGGTCGCGCCGGTCGATTCGTCCTGGATCTCAAGGTGCTTGCAGTACGCTGGTTTTGCATGTTTGGTCGCTCAGGCTGCTGCGCCTGACCTTGTTGTTGGAAAGAGACATTTCGATTCATATTGTGAGATGACATGTGTATTTGATTTTTCGTTGTTGTTTTGGATAAGAGACGGAGTCTGAATGAAGAGATTGTTGATGTCCAATGAGTCGAGGACTCTGGATAGGAGGGTGGGAGAAGGTCAGTTGTTTGAATGAGTTACTTGAAAGAATTGTCGTCGTCGTCTTTGATATATCAAAATCAAGAATGAGAAATCGTTCATTATGACCGTCTCGCCTTTGCCGCCTGGGTACCTGAACGAGCGACAAAAATTGAATTCAAGAGTGGGACCGAGAAAGTTCGCTGGTCTGTGACGATATAAGCGGGTCTTGTTGAGCCTCACGGTTGCAGCTTGTCGAATGCCCTTTCCCCTTTGAGTAATTCACCCTGCAAATCTTCACACAAGCAGGGCCAACGACGACGTCAGATCTTCGATTTTCTTAGAAATCCCCTATCTTCGTGATACCTGACACGCAAACCTCTACGGAGTCCGCTCCAGCGGCGGCCAAATCTCGCGACTATTGCATGCCGTTGCCCATCTATTCCTCTTTGAATCCCATCTGTGGTCATACTTGCGGGATAAGAGCCTCATCTTTTGACACATGCAGCCCTGAAGTCACCTCCGCATCATCATGAAACTATTCCCACACCTCCACGATCTTACAAAGATACACACTCCTAGCGGAGCAGAGATGGTTTCAAAAAAAAGTGGGCGATGAAGGAGGGCAGACGCTTGGTCCGCCGTGCATAAACGAGGGAGAGAAAAAATGACATTCTACTGCTCTAACAGAAAAACTGTGGATATAATAGCCCAAAACGGGCGTGCGAAGAGAAAAGATACGCCTGCCCAATCTATTGTGTCGCAGAAAAGAGAAGAAAAAATTAACGCCGTGACACCCTTCTTTTGCAATTCGTAGCTGAACATCTGGGTATGAAATCATTACCAGCAATCACAATACGGCGCACTATTTTACTCGTCGTCACTGTCAGGAGGGTGAGGAGTTCCCTGTGATTTGGTTAGCATTCCGCGAGGTGATGAAGATGGGATATCGCGATGGACGTACCTTGGGGCTGTTGAGCCACTCGATGTGACGCAGTCTTCTGCGGACCTCTCTCTCCTTCTGCTCCTTCTTAGTCATCTTCTTCTTCTTTCTGGCTCTGAAAGCCATATCACCACCCTCAGTATCGCTCTGAGTGGGGGTACCGACGGTGGAAGGTACGGCGGAGCTAACGACCGAGCTGGCAACAGATGAGCCAGGCTTGGAAGAGTCCTCGAAGCGGTCGAGCGAGACGGCGACGGTGCCCTTCTGGGTCAGGCGACCGTCGGCGACGTGCCACTGCTCGGGGCAGAGAGCGCCGACGAATTCCTCGTTGTGAGAGATCATGACGACACCACCCTTGTAGTCACGAATGGCAACGGCAAGACCACCAAGAGAGTCTCTGTCCAAGAAGTTGGTAGGCTCATCGAGAACAAGCAAGTGAGGGTTGTTCCACATGGCACCGGCCAGGACGACCTTGACCTTTTGACCACCGGACAGACCGCTGATCTCGTTGTGGTTGGCAATTTCGGGGTCAAGACCGACATCCTCGAAGTGCTTGGAGATGACCTTGGGCTCCAGGGAACGGAAACCAAGACCTTCTCTGCTGGCCTCGTGGTCATCGAACTCCTGGACGAGCTTCTGGAAGCCGAGTTCCATGAGAGTCTCGCGAGAAATCATGGTGTTGTTCTTGGGAAGCATACCAACCCACTTGATCTCGTACTGGAAGGACTTCTTCCACTTTTGTCTACCGATGATAGACTCAATCTTGCGCTGACCCATGCCAGGGCCAAGGTCGACGAATTTCTCCATTTGAGCCTTGTCCTCTTCGGTCAGTTGACGAGTTCCCTTCATCAGGACCTCACGGTCATCGCCGTTAGCGTAACGCCACTGGAGGTACTGGTTGGGTGTCTTTTCCAAGTGCATCTCAACGTGCTCAAGAGCGTGCTGCTTGATGTAACCGATACGCAAGTTGGGGTGCTTCTCGACCTTTCCGGTCTGAGGAATGGTCTCGCCGGTGAGAAGCTTGATCAGGGTAGACTTACCAGCACCGTTGGCACCGATAATGGCGACTCTGGAGGAGAGTGAAAGCTGACAGCTGACACCCTGGAGCGAGGGCTTGGAAGATCCAGGGTAGGTGAAGTTGCAGTCGGTCATACGGAGAATGCTTCTGGTGTTGGACTTGACACCGGTCAAGATACCAGGAGGGGGGAACTTGAATTGGACCTGAGAAGCGGAAAGAGTGTAGTATGCACCAGCTTCGGGCTTCTGCTTGACAAAGGCGGCAAGGTTACCCTTGTAGTTGACAAGCTTCTTGGTCTCGTAGTGGATGATGTCAGTGCAGACATCGTCGAGGAAACCAGAGTCGTGAGAGACAATCAGCGAGGTGATGTCAGTGTGAGTTCTGAGGTACTCCTGGAGCCATCTGACGTTGGCAACATCAAGATGGTTGGTAGGTTCGTCGAGAAGGAAGACGTCGGCGCGCATCAACATGGCTCTGGCCAAAGCGAGCTTCATCTTCCAACCACCAGACAGAGAGCCGACCTTTTCAGATTGGCGACCTTCAGCACCGGAAGAGAAACCGACCTCCTCGAGAACGGCGACGATTCTGTCCTGGCCTTCAGCCTGGAGCTCGGGATCCTTCAAACAGTAGTTGAGAATGGTGAGATCGGCATCCTCACCCTGGTTGTGCTCGACGAAACAGGTGCGAACCTCATCCTGAGGAGGGAAACCCTCGAGCTTGCCGTTGGCAATGGCGCGCATCAGAGTAGATTTTCCGGCACCGTTTCTGCCACAGAGACCGTAGCGGTGACCCTTGAGAAGACGAAGGTTGGTGTGCGAAAGCAGGAGCATACCACCGTAACCAAGAGAGAAGGTGGCATTGACAATCTCGACTTCACCATCCTCAAGAGGTGGGGGAGCACCGAACTTGCGCTCATCCTCAGAGACGTAGTATTTGTGAACAGCCTCGGCGACAGCGTCAGCCTTGCCAGCCTCCATGAGGGGAGACATGTAAGGGGCGATGTTTGCGGTGATACGGTTGAGCTTGCGGTCGGTGGCATCCTCGGCAACCATGGTCGAAAGGTAAGGCTTAGCCAGAGCCCAAATGTTGGCGTCGCCAGACATTTGGAGAAGACCACCATTGGCCTTGGTCTCCTTCTCCAAGACCTTAGCAACCTCCTCAGGGGTGGTGCGGTCGGACTCGGAGTGGTCGCCGTTGGTTTGTTGACCCATGGCCTTCTCGATGACATCGAGGGCTCTCTGGGCAATCTCACGAACCTCGGGAAGAGAGGCTCTGTCGCGAACGGCCTTGGTACCGGGGAGCAGCTTGGGGAGGAAAGCTCTGGCCTCGACGGGGTCGTGAACAAGCTTGGTCAAGTTCTCGACAACGACGACGGTTTGACGGGTGACTTCTTGGGAAGTGCTGGGGCTGTTGAGAGAGCGCTCGAGGAGAGGGGTAAGAACGGCGAGAACGGGAGAGGTGACAATGGCCACGAAGGTGGTTTGCGACAGGGCGTGGATGGCCTTTTGCAGACTTTGAGTGGAGGGGTCCTCCATCGACTTGATCAGAAGAGGGAGACGAGGCATGACATCGTCGTTCTGGAGGAGAGCGGTGAGAGCGTTCATGGCCTTGATGGCGGCCTTGGAGACTTCAGACTTGAGATCGTGCATGCCACCTTCGACGATGGGGATCAGGTCCTCGAGCTTGCGGCCCATGGCCTCGCGCAGAACGTCCTTGGCTTGCTCAGCCTCGAGACTCTCCATACCCATCTTGGCGTCGTCGGCCATGCGACCGACCAGGTCGTATGCGACAACAGCGCTCTGCCACTTGGCAGTGCCCTTGCGGAGGTATTGGATCAGGATAGGCAGCAGGCCGTAGACCTTGGCCTCGGCACTGAGCTCCTTGTAGAGAGCATCAATGGCGTACTTGGCTCCGTCGCGAACGCTGGGGGTCTTGTCGGCAATAGCGTCAAGAGCCATGGGCAAGAGGTATTCGTGTTGCAAGAAGAAGACGACCTCGCTCAGGCGTTGCTTGCTGGGGAATCTTTCGAAGATGGCGCCAAGGGCGAACATGGCACCCTCACGGCGACCGATGTTCTTCTTGTCTGTGGCTGCCTTCTTCACCTCTGCGAGAACGTTGTAGTCGTTGAGGCCACGGAAGCCGACTGAGTTGAGGAGGACATCGCAGAGACTGTAGGCCGCGTCGAGCGACTCTTGCGACGTCTTTGATTCGTAGATGCTCTTTGTGATGGCGGAGATATCCTCCTGGGCCGGCGGCGCCGACTTTGATGAGATGGCGGTGTTGTTCATGCTGGGCTCTTCGTAATGGGGCATATCCAAGAAAATTCTTTAGGAGAAAAGCGCGAATAAGGGCGTAGGCGCAGGGGCTGCGCTTTTTGCAACCGGAAGAAAAGGCAACCGGAGAAGGGATCTCGATACCAGAAAACCCGAGAGAAAAACAACTAACAAGAGTGGAGAGTGGAGAGAGAAGGTGTTTGCAATCAAGCACTCCTTCAAGATGGTTGAATAAAGAGAAGAAGTTGGTTGGGCTGATATGGGATTTTTTTTGTTGCGGCCCCCTCGGTCAGCGACTTTCTTGCCGGGCGGCGGGCCAACGCGGACTGGATACTGAACGTCGAGCCCATCTTACTCAGCGTGGCCTGGGGATAATGATAAAGACCGAGGCCGAACTCCTGCTTCTTATCGGGCTCACCTGGCTCACTTACTACATGACTGTCTAGATGAGCGATCTCATTGAGAGCAAGGTCAACATCCAACGAGAATGCGACAATCCACAACGTTTACAATCAATATACAGCCTTGGTAGCAAGATGGTCGTTCTTGCTAAGTCCAGGCTGCGTCTTGGCTTGTGCTGCATAACAAGTCTCGTTCGGTCAGTATCGATACCCCAACTTCACGTGCTTACATCCTTCCAATTGACTCGCGCTAAAGCGTCATCAGCGTTTAATGAGTCGAGATCCTTCAACAAAGTCTTGCCTTGAGGTAGTACAAACGTCGACAGAGCGGTCTAGTATTTCTTTTCTATTTTTCTACTGCTTACATGCTCTCCTTGACGTAGAGGTCAACGTACTTGTCAATCTCCATGCCGTACAACTTCTCAGGCGAGTTACCGAGGTCTACCAGCTCCTTTACCCGCGCCTCATCAAAGTGAGGGCCCAGATGTCTCTTGTACTTGGCCATGATCTCTGGCTTGGCTTCCTCACGACGCAGTCTGTGTCCAAGAGGTGCCTCGACAATCTCCTCTTCCAAGGTTGTGCCGTCTTCCAATGTGACGGTCAATGCGTTGGAGATGGTTCTCTTCTCGGGGTCATGGTAGTCCTTGGTGTACTGAGGGTCTTCAACACACTTGATTTTCTTGCGAAGCGACTCGACAAGCGGGCTTTCTGCTGCTTCGGATCCATCTGTGTAGTCTGATGCCTCAAGGCGGTTGAAGACGAACATGGTTGCGACCATGTATTGGACACAGTGGTCACGATCAGCAAAGTTGTCCATGGGCTTCAACTGTTTGTCAATGATACGGATGCAGGCCTCGTGTGTTCTGTTGGTAACATCCTTGATGTCCTTGGCGCTCTTGCCCATGGCCTTGAGCTTCTTGTTGATACGGCTGGCCGCTTCGACGGCAGTTTGCGAGTGGAACTCGGCTATTGATGTACTGTCAGCACAAACGCTTGCTGTCATAATTCACAAGTTATAACTCACCAGGGTAAGAGACCTTGAACAAAACGTTCTCCATGACATAGCTTCCGTATTCTCTCTGGAAGTTGAATTTGGCACCGTGGAAGTTGACGTCGTAGAAACCCCAGGTAGGAGCAGTAAGCACAGTTGCCATACCGCCCTCACCCTTCATGACCTTCAAGCACAGGTTGACGGCCTTTTCGCAAGCATCGCCTGCAGCCCAACTCTTTCTGCTCATGGTGTTGGGGCTGTGTCTGTAGGTACGCATACTCTGACCGTCGACCCATGCTTGCGAGATGGCATCGCGAGTCTGAGCCTCGGAAAGGCCGAGCATTTGACTGACAACGGCGGTCGAAGCGACCTTGACCAAAACAACGTGATCTAGACCAACCTTGTTGAAGGAGTTCTCCAAGGCCATGCAACCCTGGATCTCATGTGCCTTGACCATGGCCTCGAGGACGTCTTTCACAGTGAAGATTTTTCCATTGCCCAAGTTTCCACCGTTGCGGTTGGTTCTGCTAATCCAATCTGCAACAGACAGAATGGCGCCCAAGTTGTCACTGGGGTGACCCCACTCAGCGGCAAGCCAGCAGTCGTTGAAATCGAGCCATCTGATCATGGCACCGATGTTGAAGGCACCGAGTACAGGATCGAGTTGGTAGGGGGTGCCGGGAACTCTTGTACCATTGGGGACAGTTGTTCCGGGTACGACAGGGCCCAGAAGCTTGGTGCAGTGGGGGAACTCAAGGGCCTTGAGACCGCAGCCCAGCGTGTCGAGGAAGACGTATCTAGCTGTGTCGATCTACACACAGAAACAATAGTCAGTTTGGCGGTCTTGGACATGACGTTGGAGTGATTGTGGACATACAGCAAGTTCGGAGGTGACCTTGTAGTTGTGGATGTAGGATGCCATGTCGGTGATCTCGCGATCAAACTCGGCAGCAGGGGCCGGGCTGGCGATGGCGTCCGAGTTGGGCTTCATGGTGGTAGAGAATGGGGCTGCAGAGCGGACGGAGAAAGCTGTTCGGGCGATTGATGCTCTGCTGGTGATTCTAGCAGTGTTGCAGAGAAGGGCGCGCTGGCTGACAATGTTTCTGGAGCAAGTGCGGAGAAAGGTACGGCTCAGTGGGGAAGACATCACTGCCCGAAGTCCACCAGTGTGTTTGTGTCGGTAGATTGACCGAGAGAGGGCTGCGAAGTTGGGTAAGAAGGTGAATGCAAGAACAAATAAATGAAGTTTTCACCTCTGCAGATGATCTGATAGCTGGACAGCTCCTCGAACCTAGCTTCCTACCTTGGCTACGTCGCCGCTTGGTCAACCACGACCCCGCCTTCAGATGTCAGGCGCGTCCGTTACCGGGTTACCGAGGGCCGAAGGTGGGGGCCAAGGGAGCAAAGGAGTTACCTCTACGAGTCTGCATTGTCTACGGGCTTTGAATCGCAGGCAAGTAGGAAGCTTGGCTAGAGACAGATGTAATTCTGCAAGACATGCATACTGCGTATCGCCACATCCAGTGTTCGAATTAGACTGTGGTTACTGTCTCATGGTGACTTCATGTTTCCATCAAGACGGATGACGAGCGGGCAACCCTGGTATCAATCATGGCCTATGTTGACGACATGGTTTGGTCTTAACCACAGCCTTATAATAATGCCAAACATGCTCTCTGCTGGATGTCTGAAGACTGAACTGAGCAGAATTACTCCGTTGAGTGAATGAAGAAGAAATGTCGAGACAACATCCTGACCACAATTTCGTGGATATGGGAGATCGAAAAGCCACCACTATCAAGCAATACTCAATACTCACAACAAGCAGTAGAAGTCCTGACAACAAAACACATGCATCACTCGATAAAGCTTGTAGAACGTTGAGTACAGCGTATGGTCTGCCCAATGAGTGTGTGGATTAGTGAAGCGAGGTGGGTGTGAGAGGATATCGCCGGCAAAGAGGTACCCAGTACAGATAAGACATACGAGTATTGGGGACCATGATAGATGTGTTGTCCCCGATAACAATATATTGCGAGAAGCAGTCAAGTGGGTAGAGTCTTGCTAATTTTAGGCCAACCACTTGGTTGAGAATTTAGAAAAAACTTGCAGCAAGAATGCCTGCATCTTACGATCTCAGCTGTGCGTCCCTGGCCGCATGGTTCACGGCGTCAAAAGTGCATCACGGTCTCGCCGAATATGCTGAGCAAACACTTGACAGCTGAACAGAAACAACAGAAGCCATTCGGCTGAGGCGCCGCTCAAGCAAATTGCAATTCGAGATTGCCTGGCTGAAGATTTGCGGACGCAATACGGAAATGACGTGCAAGCCATCGACGTCTGGTTCCTGACTCTGCCTTGTCAGCATGTTCCTTCGAGTCTCTCTCAAATTTTGAGGCGTCAAAAAGTACAACAAGCTCAAGTCTCGATGCAGGTCCGAGTCGACCGAGGTACCAATGGGCGGCGTAGGCGGGAGCTTGATGAGCTCGGACAGAGACATGGTTTTGACGGCCGGTGCCTGGCGCAGATCTGATTAGCGCCTTTTCCCAAACAAGACTCGCATCCTCACCCGAAAAAAACATCGCGCTATTGGATTCGCTGCCCGATTCGATTGCTCAACTCATCAGCACACGGCCCTTGTTTATTGCAAGGTGTGTGCTGCATCGTATGTGGAGTACCCTGTACGGGCAGATCATATCGACCACGCGAGCTGCGCGGGCGGCTCACTCGTCGCCACGCCACAACCTGGCACGGATATGGCGCGAGAATTAGGTAGGTTTGCTGGTAAGGTAAGACCGCAGGGGCTCGGCTACTGGTCCACTTTGCGCCGTTGCACCTGGCCCGGAGTCTCAACGTTATGCTGTTTCTTCTCGAGCTTCTACGTAGCGTAACGCTCCACGGAAGGACTAGACTGCATGCGCTGCTATATCGGTTGGTGCTTGGCTTACTTGAACCCAAACGGTCCTGCTCGCTGGTCCATTGCTCAAAAGCCCCAGGTCAGCCGTCAGTAGAAACGTTCTCGTCTCTACTAATTTTCCTGCCTTTCACGTCTTCAATCCTCCTTCCACTCGTTTATTCTTTGTGGTAGCAGCAACAGGCATCAGTCAAAGTACATCCACACTCACACTACACAAGAGTCCCTCGCCATGGACGACCGCAACAATGGCACTGCCGCTTCATCGGCCAATGCTACACCTTATCTCAGACCTGGTACTCCCGAGAGCGAGGCCATCACTCCCGCTCCCAGAGCAAACCCCTTCGCCACTCCCTATGGCTCAATGCCCGTCTCTGCTGCGGGTTCTTCCACAGCTCTGCAGATGCCTCAGCAGAGATACTTCCACTCTAGACGTGTGAAGAAGGGTGAAGTCGAAAAGCCCTGGCTCGAGAGAAAGGATCCCAAGGAGAAGTGGGTGACCATTATTCCTTGCATCGGTATTGCGATCGGTATCGCTCTTACTGGTTTCTTGATCTACGATGGTCTGGCCAGTGTCACCAACCACAGCTACTGCTCCGTTTTCGAGGATGACTTCTCGGGCGGCTTCAACAGCAAGATCTGGCAAAAGGAGGTCGAGGTTGGCGGTTTCGGGTATGTGATCGAACTTGATGACCTCGTAAGCATTCGCTAATCTATCACAGCAACGGCCAATTCGAAATGACCACCAACACCGACGAGAACTCATTCATCCAGGATGGCATGCTCTACCTGAAGCCCACTCTTCAAGACGCAAAGCTCATTGAGCAGAACAACGTCATCAACCTGCTCGCAGACGGCTCCTGCTCGTCTGATGTCTGGTCCAACTGTATTACCGGCACCAACACCACCAACGGTACCATTGTCAACCCCGTCAAGTCCGCTCGCATTAGCACCAAGGGTGGTGCATCCATCAAGTTCGGTCGCATCGAGGTCGAGGCCAAGCTCCCTGAGGGTGACTGGCTGTGGCCCGCCATCTGGATGTTGCCCAAGGACAATGTATACGGTGCCTGGCCTCGTTCTGGTGAAATTGATATCATGGAGTCTCGCGGAAACAACCACACCTACGCTCAGGGCGGCAACAACGTCATGAGCAGCACTCTCCACTGGGGTCCCAACTCTGCCAACGATGGTTGGTGGCTCAACAACAACAAGCACGCTGCTCTCCACACTACCTACTCCAAGGGTTTCCACACTTTCGGCCTCGAGTGGTCCGAGAAGTATGTTTTCACCTACGTCGACTCTCGTCTTCTCCAGGTCATGTACGTCAACTTCGACAAGCCTTTCTGGCAAAAGGGTAGATTCCCCGTCAGCGACAGTAACGGCACCGCTCTCATGAACCCTTGGGCTGCTACTGGCAAGGACAACACTCCCTTCGACCAAGACTTCTACCTCATTCTCAACGTCGCTGTCGGTGGTACCAATGGTTGGTTCGAGGACGGTGCTTCGGGCAAGCCTTGGACTGATGGCAGTGGCCTCGCCAGAAAGGAGTTCTGGGATGCTCGCGACCAGTGGTACCCCACCTGGGAGAAGAACGGTCAGATGATCGTCAAGAGTGTGAAGATGTACCAGCAGAAGGGATACAACGGCTGCAACTAGAAAGTTTTCATTTGTTTTGATAGCGATTGGTTTTTCTTGTCTTTGGGATTTCGATACCTCTAGGCGTTTATGGTCCGCCTTGAACCACCATAGAAGGTGGTGGCATGAATCTTCAGAATATAGACAAATATCATTGTAATTTTCACGACTACTCAATACTTCCGATCGCCATGATTTATCAATGCTTCGTATTAGTTATCGGTAACTATACCAGCCACCTATAGAGTACACCCAGAGAAGACATTGCATTCCCAATACCTGCCTTGATAAAATCGCTGGATACAATCGCTGAATAGAACCGTCTGGGTTAAATCGTCCAACGGTTTGTCCCAGCCCCGCCAACCCAAGCCGGCACTCGACCGTAGCAACAAACGTCGAGGGCGACGAACTGTCCAACGAATAACGGATAGTCAGTCTCGGAGACCACGGGTTTCTCTGCCCTACTACTGCCGGCGATAGCAACGTCTTTGAGATACGTTGCAAGAGACGAAACGTGACAGAACGTGATGAAGCTGGTGGACCGTTTGAGGGAAGGATCTCAGTCAAACGGGGGCCGACCAGCGTCCGGCAGTGAGAGGATAGTCGACGGTCAGGGTGGGGGGTGAAACCCGTGACGTTGAATGATGCTTACCCAGCTACTAGTCTCACAGCAATGTCTCAACTTATTACAGTTCATGTGTTGTTTCATTTTGCTCGCAAGAGCGCGAGAAAGTCTGCCTCTCGGCGCCACACGCATAACTAATCAGTGACTTTACTATGATGGCTTTTCACTGAACGACAAGCTTCATCGTCAAGCCACATTCTATCCTCTCGTGCGTAGTCAGGGTTTTTTGATGGGCAGCTGAGAACTAACCCCTTGAACGTACATCAGTGCCGTAAGTCGACAGCTGCAAGCACTAGGCCTTGTTTTGAGTGCAGGCGGGCTGTGCTGGCTGCCAGCAGTCAACCTCGTGAAAAACGGCGAGATAGTCGTTGTGTGGGATGATCTACACGTTCAGCTGGTTCGAGGAAGTGGCCGAGAATCTGGAGACGTGATGCGATATCTGAAGATCATTGCGCTTGGGGGATCTGCTTCGGAAACATGCACCATAGGAGCATGGGCCCGAGGTGGTCCTCTCATCCTTGATGTGCTTGTACAATGTATTGGTATCGAAAGTGTATGCAGGAGGGACGGGGAGTAGTCTCTCAACCATGCCATTTCCACCCATGCACGATTCCATTGAGTAAAGATATTTTCTCAGTGACTGCAGGAAACAAGGATGGACTGCATGTTGAAGGCGCTTGGCACATAAGGATGAGTGTAAAATTATAACCGAGTGGATCCGCCGCGGGTGAGCCGCCTGACAAACTTGCGGCGCGGCAAGTGGTATGCACCTCCAAGCTTTTCCCACTATCTCGGAGTGAAGTCTAATAGCAGGAAC